TATACCTTATTTTCTTATTCATCATATTATGTTTAGGAAGCCGTTTAACAAAAGATAAATCTATAGGTAACGATCGTGCAAGTTTTTTTTGCCTTGATCGCGAAATTCTAGTGCATTTTCAAAATGTTGCTTAAATGGATGTGAATATGGTCGATGATATAATGAAGTTTGTGGGTTGTGTGTTGATTCCTTCAACAGATTTCGACTCCAATCGATTGAGGGAAAGAGGGTTTTTTTTTTTTTTTTTGAAATGTTGTTGTTTGTTGAAGTGTGAATTGTTCATCTTTAATAGGGTATTAACAATCTATTACACTCATTGATAGGCACACTTTGGCCAATGTTCTGATTGAATGTGTTTATTTGACATTGTGATGGTTGATGTGTTTTGATATGTTCGATGTGTGGGGTGGTGTGTATGGGTTTAAAGGTTGGGTTGGGGGTATTTGGTTTTGGTTGTTAATTGGATGTCGAATATGAACCACGTCGTAGGATGTCAATTGTGTATTGGGACTTGGATGATCGTTTTACGATACATGTTACATTTAGTATGTAACATTAATCCACATACACCATGTAGTAGATGACATTTGTGTGTTTCACTACAAAAAATTAAGGTTTTAGAGACTAAAATTTAGGGACAAAATTATTTTTTAGGGACCAAATATTTTTGTTGCGAAAAGTGTCGTTATTATATTTTTAGCAATGAAAATTAGACATTAGTAATGAATTATTATCCTTTTGGTACCAAATTTTTTGTCTCAAAAAATAAACCTTTTTGAGACCAAATTATTTTGTTCCTAAAAGTCTATTAGTGACATTTTCAAAATTTTGTCACTAAAAGCCTTGTTTTTGACTTTTCAAGATGGCCTTTTAGCGACTATCCTCATGACGATAGAAATTGGTCCCTAAATGCCTTTTGCAACAAAATTTTCACTTTTAGAAACCAAAACATTTGGTCTCTAAAACTCTTATATGTTGTAGTGTTTGTTCGGCTATATATGTGTTTGAATGTGTATCGTGTCTTTGTTGTAATCAGTGTTTACATACATGTCACAGTACGCTGCACAAAATTATTAGGGATTTGGGTTTGTAATTGAATGTGGATTGAATCCCATCGCTCGATGTTGAAGTTACGCTGGGTTGGGGGTGATAGTGGTTCAATATATGAGTTGGGTTTGGATGTTACATATTATATTTAGGAGGTTACATTATTCATAATTCAATGGTGGAGTATCGAAATGTCACGTTGGGTTTGGGATGAGAAGCATATGGGAATGTCACGGTGGGTTTGGGATGTTACATGTTACATTTACTTTGAGTTTGGGATGAGAAGCATATGAGAATGTCACGTTGGGTTTGGAAATGTCACATTGGGTTTGGGATGTTACATGTTACATGTTACATTTATATTTTGAATTTCAAATTTCCAACCATATAGATATGATTGCAATATATGGTAACATTAGATTTCCCATATATGGTTATTGCCATTAATCAAGTTATTTTGAATTTCAAAAGCCTATGAGAATGTCATGTTGGGTTTGGGACTATCACATTGCGTTCGCGATGTTACATGTTACATTTACGCTTTTAATTTCATATTTCCAACCATATAGATATTATCACAATCTATGGTAATATTGGATTTCCCACATATGGTATTGCCATTAATTATGTTATTTTGAATTTCAAATTTCTAATCATATAGATATGATCATAATTTATGGTAATATTAGATTTCCCATAATGGTATTGCCATTAATTAGGTTATTTTGAATTTCAAATTTCTAACCATATAGATATGATCACAATCTATGGTAACTTTGGATTTCCCATATATGGTATTACCATTAATTAGGTTATGAATTAATTAAGATTGGGGATAAATATATCCATAAGAAAACCACAGGACCTATTGGATTATAAATTTTTTCATAGGACCATATCATGGATAAGTCTTCCAAATAGGACTTATAAATAATTTACCCTAAAATATTTCTTAAAAGTTCATATTTATTTTACAATTGAAATTTGTTAATGTTACAAGAAATGCATTAATATTCTGTTATGTTGTGTTTGATTAGGGAATTTGGGAAGGAATTTAGAAATAGAAAGGAAAGAGGTGTGTGAAACTAGATGAAATGTAGGTATATTTTATTCATATTTCACCTACCTTTTCCCATTCCTTTTCCTTTTCCAAATCTCTTCCCAAATCCTCCAACGAAACACAGTGTTAGTAAGATTTGTGCTACCCACCAAAGACCAGAAAGCATTTGGTATAACAGAAAAATAAAGTCAAAAGAAAAACATTTTCAGTTGACTAATTTATGTGGCAAATATTTTTTCCTTTTAAGAGATGGAGAACATTTTCCGTTGATCTTTTCGACAAAAAATAACTGTGAGTTGAGTATTGATCAGTGTACTTTGATGATTTGTAGATGTGAAATAGTCTGGTGACACGCATTCATGCACGCGTGCATTCATGCACGCGTGCACTACACCTTTAGTTTTCTTGCATGTTAGTCTTACATTTTGACATTGTATATATATATCAAATAATTACTATGTAAATGCACATGATCATTCTGCTAGCAACCATCACCATCACTACACTAGCCCTCCGCCACCACTACATTACAACTACCATCACCACCACCACCACTCCATCTCCACTACAACCCTCCATCATCACCACGACCACTCACTTCCATCGCCATCACGATTGGCGCTATAGCCACCACCACTGCCACCTTTACTACCATCACTATCACCATGTCACCACTATAATGTAAAATTTGGAAGGGAAGTTTTGAATATAATAAACTTCATTTTGTAGAGATATAAACACAGTTGTTAGAATGGTATGATTCATGATTTGATATGTATGATTCGATATGAGTTTCAACAAAAATAATTTGAATTGTATTATTAAATCAAAAATTGAGTGAATCATGCGATTCAATTTATGATTTGCTACGATTCATTGTGATTCAGTATGATTAACTATGATTGAGTTCTATTTTGTTTTTGTTTACATAATGAATGAAGTGACACCATTTTTGCCAAACTATCAAGATGTATAGAAGTGATTAATTAGTTATATTGATATACTTGATTTTATATGTACATACATATATACAGTTTGGCTATATTGATTTTTACTGCATTTTAAACTCTATTCGTGTATTTTATTTTATTATTATTATTATCTTTTTGACAATCGATATGAGAGTTATTATAAATATGAGAAATATTACTTCAAATCACTGCCCAATCCCAACAATCACTAATTGCTACATACAGCTCCCATAATGGGAAAGAAATAAACATTACCACAAAGGGTATCAAACTCCTCCATAGGAGTTGAACCTAAAATCTCACACCACAAAGTGGTGCTACACAAGCACTAGGCCATAGGGCATGGTTGCCTATTTGTGTATTTTTATGTATGTATATATATATATATATCATATTAAATATAATGAATCTTATAATTCAAGATTCAATTTGCAATTTGACAACAATGGGTACAAAAAACTTGTTTTAGCTTAGCACTTAAATTTTTATCAAACAATTTTGTAGGATAAATTACACTTTTTACCCCTATAGTTCGATCCTAAATTTCCCTATTGTTTCAAGTTGAACAACTCAATCCCTACATTTTTTGTCCAGTTTTAATTTGGTTCTTTCATCTAAATTTTTGTTGATGGTTTTTACACGTACACCTCAGGAGACTGACTAGTGTTCCAAAATGGTTAATTTTATCGTTGAACTTGAACAAAAGGACCAAATCGTTTAATTTGAAACAGTGGGAACCAAAATGAAATTTGAGTCAAATTATAGGGGTTAAAAGTGTAATTTATCCATTTTTTAATTTTAAAAAAAAATGGCATTTAGTTTTTAGTAATTAATTTTCAGTTTTTTCAAACATCACTTTACACTCTCAAGTGTCTTGTAATTTGTTGTGGCCAGGATTGAGGCATTTGCAATTAGCATTTGACTGCACAATCTTCATTTTTTTGCTCCAATATGCTTCAAATTGTTATGAATGTGTGGGACTTTGTTATTGTACTTGAAAAAGCTCGAAGTGGCCAAAATTTACCTAGACCACCTGAAATGATGAGTTTCTATGGTTGTTTCCAATATGGATTGTATAAGTTTTCATGAGTCATATAGCTTTGTTCTGTCATATCTTTTGTAGTTGTCTTGTGGTCTTTGCCTGCTTTATTGTATGATCTTTTGCAATTCAAGCTATGTTAATGTTTCTGTCTTGTTTGACATGAGATTGACTAAAAATTTCAAAAAGTATTATCAAATTGTTTATACATTTCTAGAAGAAAGTCATGCACATCCATGTGTTCTTCGGTGAGTTTTGCTTCAACATAGGCCATTCATGGGAACTATAACTCTGACAATTACTTGATGTGGCAAGGATGTTGTGATGTTCACTTATCAAGATGGGCCTTCTGTTGAGCAAGTTATGCACTTGTTTTTGCTTCCTCTATGGTGATTGTAAAATTAATTTTTATTTTTTATATTTTTTTTTTACATATAATTTTTTTTGTTAAAATTTAGTTGTTGCCTACAATTCATAATAATTTCATGGTCTAGTTTATGTACACCTCTTAATACTGATGTTGAAGTACCAGGATCAGTAGTAAATGAATTTGGGATTTCTAACTGGAAGTTCTAAATAAAATGTGGAACCAAGTACACTTAGATCATGTGCTGGGTGTATCACTTTGACTACCATCTTTTGCCTGATCAAACAAACGTTCTACAAGTGCTAGTGTTTTAAGTTCCTATTTCTACTTGCATGATGTTAAAGCAGCCCTTGAAGTTCATTTCACTCTCTGAACTTTTTTGTCTTTCTTTCTTTTTTTTTTTTTTTTTTTTTTTTTTTTTTTTTTTATGGGAGTCTCTCTTGAGTACTTCTTTATGTCATCTTGCTTTCAGTCTACGTATTGTGATGCTGATATTATGTACTTATTTTCTGTCAGACAAAGAAATACTTTAATGAGATTGGTATTACAGCTGATGTGAAGTACATTGATCCGACATACATGATCCGAGCATGCCGTGCAAATGCATCAGATGGAATTCTTTGTACTGTACTGGGTCAAAATGCGGTGAGTCTCTCACACTCACATTTTCATGTCATGTTTAGTAAATAAATAAATTAATAAATGCATCTCATTTTGTAGGCTATTCTATAATATGGTGCATTACACTGGTAAGGATTCAGAATTCTGAATCCCTTATAGGAGAAAGACCTGAGTAAAAAATTAATCTAATTGGCTGGTAAAAAGCTACTGCTTCCTGAATCCCCCCTTCCCAGAGATTGGGCACCTTGTCCAGCTTGACACCCAAACTTAACCTGGAGATTTTTATTTTTTGTCAATCGGTAGGAGATAATGTACACAGTGGTGGTGGTGGTGGTGGTGGTGGTGGATTGGCGGCGACAGTGGTGGTGGTGGAGGTGGATTGGTTGTAGAAGTGGTTACCCATTTAAATGGGTTTAAACGGGTACACATGTCCAACACATGTAAATTGAATTTTACGTAGATTCGCAATGATCAATCCATTTGAGCCCATATATAGATTTGGACGGGTTTAAATAGGTTTTAAATAAGCATAATTGGGCTGGTTCATGGATTTGGATTGAGCTTGCCACCTCTACTCTGTAGATTCTTTTTTTTTTTCTATTCTTTTTTTTCAGTACATGTATATTTAGAATAAATGCTTAATAAAAAATAGAAATTAATCAGAATTAATTGGGTACAGATGTACACGAATGTGCTAAGTGATATTTACACAGTGAGTGATGTTTGGTCTTGACAGGTTCATGGTGCATTTGCTGGATATAGTGGCATCACTGTTGGGATATGCAACACACACTATGTATATCTTCCCATTCCTGAAGTCATTTCTTACCCCAGGGCTGTCGACCCTAATAGCCGCATGTGGCATCGTTGCTTGACGTCAACCGGCCAACCAGACTTCTTGGATTGAGGAAGCATTCTAATTTATATACATTACAGGAGATTTGAGAAACCTAAGCTTTATAAATGGGAAGATTAGAAAACAGACATCCAGCCAGCTGCACAAGGTTTTTGGTTGCCAGTCCACAGCATCATGTTGAAGAAATAATACAAGGATGGCATTTCTTCCATTTTATTTTATTTTATTTTTTTGGGTGTATAGCATTGCACTGCCAGTTCTCAGATAAACAAGTAAGAATAAAAATTCCATAGGAACCACCCCAACCATTTTGTAATTGTTTCCTTATTGTCTTCTGTAAAACATGTTTCCGAAAAAAAATGTTTTGGAAGGGGAAGAGACAGGAGAGGAATGGAAGAGGCTGCCGGCAAAATTGCAAATATAACTATAATATATTTTTATTTTTTATATATGTATGTATGTTGCAATTATTTTAGATTCCTACCATTTTTACAATTCTTTCTTTTTCTTTCCATTTTTTCCGCAAATTTTTTTTAATCGTTTATTTTTTTCCCTGGGGGGGGGGGGGGTGTGGGAAATTTAAAAAAAGAGTACAGAGAAAGAAAGTCCTTAAACTTTAAACTCCGGTATTGACTTTGACTGACCTTTTTATTGGAAAGGTCTTAAGAAAAGTTTGTAGGCCTTGCTTCAGACGGCTATGCTTTTTTAGTAATTTTTAATTTTTTGATTAAAATATGATGTAAAAAAAAATTAATATGTTTTGAATGATTTTTTAGTTTTTTAAGAAAAGATGTGCAAAAAGTAGAGAGAAAAAAAACTTTGACTTTATAGTATAGATAGTTGTTTTTTTTTTTGATCTTTAGTGATTTTTTTACTTTTAAGCTAAAAAATGATATTGTCAAACAAAATCTTATTCAGTGTATGTGGTTTGAATTTTTTGAATTAAGTTTTTTGAAAATTGAGTTTTTTAGTTTTCATGTTTTTTTGTTTTTTTGTTTTTAGTGAATATTTTTAAAATTTTAAACATTTTTTTTATTTTTTTAGATGTACTTTACTTAGATGTATTTAAAAAGTAAAAAATTTGTGAAAAAATATTTTTAAAAATTAATAAATACATAAAAATACAAAAAATGTATTGAATTTTCGTATTTTTTTGATTTTGGAATTTATGAATTTAAAATTTCAAAAATAGATTTTTTTATTTTTAGGTAATTTATGTTAGGTATGTCTAAAAATTAAAAAAAATTGTTCAAAATATTTTAAAGAAATTCAGTAAAAACAAAAAAAAAACACAAAAATAAGAAAGTAATTTTTTGAAAAGTGTTTTTTGAAAAATGATAACCAAGCATAATAATTGTAATTGATTTATACTTTTTCATATCCAATTTTGTGTTTTAATTATTTATTCTTAGCAATAAATTTTACATTTTAATATTGAACATTTCATTTGATAACGTGCTTAGGATGATTAATAAGTCTTAGGATTCATTAAAGAGCAACTCATACTATATGGCGTTACGGGATAATCTTCATTTTAATTTATTTATTTCTAATAGCAGTTTGCCAGTCACATATTTATTAAAAATTAAAATACACCAAAAATATATAACTAAATAAAAAAAACAAGGAAAAAAAGAGAGAAAATTGGTGAAAAAATCACTCTAATAATTGTTTAAGACATTTGGTCCAATGGGTTTTTTTTTTTTTTTTTTTGTTAGTGAGAGGTTCACATTTTGTGAAATAGTTTGGTGAGAAATTCTGGAAACATTTCACTTTTAATTTTACCCCCTTGACTTCTATTTTTTTTTCCGTTGACTATCTATTCAAATTTTTCTGTGCAAATTTCTATCTATTCCAAATTTTACCTGTCCAATTTTTTATCTATTCAATATTTTTATTTGCTCAAATTTTATTTATGTAAATCTTCTATCTGTCCAATTTTATATGTGCAAATTTCTATTTGTCTAATTTTTTATCAATTCAAAATTTATACTATACCAAATTCACAAGTTTATTAATTCATATTTTTTCAACTTTTATCCGAACAAAAGTGCATCTGGACAACTTCTTTTTTTTTTTTTTTTTCATTTTTTCACAGTATCTGTGCATATCCTACTGCTTCAAACAAATCATAACTTTCAAAAATTAGATTGCTTTAAAAAAATATCACAATATCTGTGCATATCCTACTACTTTAAACAAATCATAACTTTCAAAAATTAGATAACTTTAAAAAAATAACACAATATCTGTACATATCATCTGCATTTTCTTAATACTAAACCCCTATCTGTTCAAATTTTGAAAAAATGTATATTATTATCTGTTCAAAACCAAATTGTCCTATCTATTTAAAATTTTATTATTTGTTGAAATTTTGAATAGATAATGTTCAAAATTTGAACAAATATGTTTTATTTGTCAAATTTTTTTTAATCGGTTTTATCATCATCATCATCATCATCATCATCATGAACATCAACAACAATAACAATAAATAAATTAAAAAATTAATAGATACATCATCCGCAAATACACACTCACACACATAACTCATCATCATCATCATCATCATCACCTTCTTTCACAACCAGATCTGAGACTATACAAAATTAAAACTCAACTAGTGTAGACCTTAAGAAACGATTGTGAAGATCTTGAAAACCAATGTATAAATATATCACTTCAGATCAGAAGAACAGTGAGAGATGGTAAGAGGGCGACCAGTGAGAGAAGAACAGTGGCGGTAGATCTCTTAGATCAATCTACTCTCCCTTCTCCTCTGTCAAGAGTGTTTGGAACTGAGAGAGGCGCAACGGCAGAGATATCACCGACGATCTTTAGATCTTCTAGATCTAGAGCTTGACGAAGTCGTTGAAGACAAGACATCACGTTGTCGTCAACACCGGAGACAAGATAGTTGTCATGACCTGAACCCACCCCTAAAAGTTTGGATCATAACCGGCCAGTAATCACTTGATTACCTTTGGCCTCAAACAAACATACAGAGTAATTATAGTAATGGGGCCACAAACGAAAGCATACGACAAATGAAGAAATCCATTGAGTTGTGCCAATATGAGCAAAATTATAAAGCTTGTACCATAACACATTCACATCATTTACATGCCTATGCAAAAAAAAATATATAAGTACCATAGGAAATTTTATACATATCGTTTATAAATCTGAGGACCAAAATAGAAAAAACAAAATAGAGTCAAAGCATAATGGGAGTCAAAGGCAAAACTCCATCTCGAAGGCATGACTCGACAGGTTCACAAAAATAGCTCATGAAGCTGACTCTAAGAGTGGGCTCCATGCTGCGGATCATCAACGTGTGCATATATAATATTGGGTGAGCGAAGCTCAATGAGTAATAATACAGTAAAACAGTGTAAATAGATGATCATAAGGTTCTCACAATATCCATAATCATAATACAGAATGGCCTTGGGCCTAATATAACACGGAATGGCCTTGGGCCCATTATATAAACAAAACGGCCTCGGGCCCATTATATAAACAAAACGGCCTTGGGCCCATTACATAAACAGAACAACCTTGGGCCCATTACATATGAATAGAACGGCTTCAGGCCCACATGTTAACAACTATTCAGAACAACCTCAGGTCCAATCACATCTTACCATGTCATTAACAGAACGACCTCGGTCTACATATTATACAGAACGGCCTCAGGCCCACAGAACGGTCTCGGGCCAAAACATATCATAGCATAAATAGAAACAAAACGACCTTTGGTCTACATTGCACATGTCAAATAACATTATGTAGTTCATTCATTTCGATCAAAGCACAATGCCGGCACAATTCACCATACATGGCTCAAGGTACACAGTTAAGAACATATATGCACAATATTATTACTCACAGTGTGTTTGATCTTGTGGTGTTTCCTTCGGCATATGACCTACACACATTTGGTAAATCATTTGTTTCAATTTGCATACTTTTCTTTCATAGTTCACAATCTTTTTAAATGAGTTTCTAATCATCATTTCACTCCCAAAAGGGTTTAAACAAGGTTGGGAAGGCGTTCAGAAGGTCGGGAGTATCAACACAAGAAAGCACTAGGGCTGTTCAAAAATTCATTCAAATTGGTAATCCAGACCGAACCGTACGGTTCGGTTCGGTTCTATTAAGAACCAGTTCAGTTTCGGTTCAAGAAATATTGAGAATCGTAAAAACGGTTCGGTAAATGGATTTTATGAAAAAATCATGGTTCGAACCGAACCGAACCGAATTTTAAAAGATATATAAATATATATATATAAGTTTTATCATAAGTTAAATGTAATTAGTTTGATTAATTATTTTGCTAATATTAACAATTTATTCTTGTAAATAGAAATTTTTGAAACTGTGAACCAAACCGCAACCGAACTGTTATTTCGGTTTGGTTCTAGTCCGGTTTTACAAGTGTAATGGTTTAGTCTGGTTCTCAAAATCACAGAACCGTTAGGATCAGTTTGGTTCTTGGATTTTCTCATAATTGAACCAATTCGGACCATGTACACCCCTAGAAAGCACGATTTTCTCCCCTGCCTGGCCTCATGTGCGGCCGATCCAACCGCTCGAGCGGTATGGCCCCGCTCGTGCGGAAATGTAAGCCACTCGAGTGCACAGAACCGAAATCACAAATCTTGGTCATGTTCTGCTCGTGCAGAGCCCATGGCCGCACGAGCGATCTAGGCAAAAACCAAACAGTCTGAACATGCTCCAAACCCCAAGTGACCAAACTCCATTACAAGCCCAAATTCATGCAAAATTGCCTCAAAAACATGATATACTAGCATGATATAAGTGTAATTTCACTTCAAACATATCAATCTTGCTTCAACTTTTGATTCATGGTCTCATATTTTTCATGTATTCATAAATTACATACACAAGCTCAATATACATACAAACATGGTGAATCTTCCAACAAATCTTGTTTGTATGAACCATCTAGAGTTTATTTCATGGATTAATCACAAGAATGAACTCAAATCAAACAAAGATGAGAGATTAAGATTCAATTTCATACATTTAGCTTTAACCATTACATATCTCAAATCCTAACTCATAATTCCTAATTTCTTCTTGACTTCAAACAAAAGATGAGATATATACAAAGATTTCAAGTAGATTATCATACCTTAGCACAAATCTAGGGTTAGTCCCTTGAATTTCTTCCAAATCCCTAGTTTTTCTTGTTCCTCTCTAACTCATTCTCTAGAGCTCTAAACCAAAAATGATGAATACAAGAGCTAGGGATATATAAATTAGGCCAATTAAAACATTACGAATTGTAATTTTTCAAAATTTCACTGTAGGCACAAAAAATATGCTAATCACAGATATGAAGTTGATTTTTGTTTATTGCACCTCTAAGGCTTTCAATTTTAGTTCAAAGTTGTAATTGCAATAGATATTCTTACATTTAACATATGTTATTCCAAATTCACATAATTCACATACTTAAAGTTGCAAATTCATATCAAACACACAATCACATGCATAATTAAGCACAGTACAGGTTGGGTTATCACAGTAGTAGACGAAAGTAAATGAGAGAGAGAGAGAGAGAGGAGTGGTGGTGGTGTCGACGACAGTGGTGCAGTCGACGGTTGAAGGGGAGAGAGGAGAGACAGTCTCATAGAGAGTAGGTAGAAGGGGAGAGAGAGGAGTGTGATTGTTAGGGTTTTGGGACTACTAATATGATATAGATATATGAAGGGTATTTTGATCATTTTAGTTGAGCTTGTCTTTTTGGACAAACTAATATAGCGCCTAGACCTCTCACCTAACAAAATTATAATTTGGATTTATAAATTGAGTGTCCAAAAAGAAATTGACATAATATTAAGAGTGTGCGTGGTGCAGTGCAATATGGTTTGTGGGTAAAGTTATAAACCAAATTGTGAATGGCGGATTGACAAATAATCAAACGGTTTGGGCAGTTTAGGCTGCTTTAATTTGCTAGTTGATTGAAAAATAATCTTAAACAATTATTAAGTATTTGTATAATATATAACAATAATTTATAATAAATTTCATATTTTTAATCTCTCTCACACTAATTTTTAGTTTAACATTTCATTAGACGTAAATATATATATTAACATAGTGAAGTTGGACGCTTTTAAAAATAAATTATAAATTTCAAATGACGAATCAAATTATTTCGCAATTAGCAATGAAATTGGTGTGAGACATTATGATTTTAACAAATTGATATTTCACGCAACCCCAAATAATATACTTGCTTCATTCCCAATATGGGAAGACTAAAAACATTTTAAACGAAACTACACAACAATCACAAGGAAACTATATAATTTTTTTTTGAAACTAGAAATCCTTGAGCAGCTTGCGGACCTGTTCAAGAGTGACAAAGAGGATAACAGTAAAAGGTCCCTGCCTTGAGATTGTAGGGATGAAGCCCTTATAGAGAGCAGTGGGGCCTTCTGCTCGAATTGTCTTCAAGGCACAATCAAGGGCACCAGTGTACGGTGGGACCATCCCTGGCTCAACCTTCATGCTCATCACCCTAGTCTTTATCACATCCACCGGATTCGATGCCACTGCAGCCACGAACCCCGCCGCGAAGCTCGCTGTGACGTGGGTCCAAATCCCATCCTTCATCACACCCTTTTCCAATATAGTCTCCTTAATCTGATCGTATGATGCGAGCTGTGACGCTGTCACCAGCATTGCACGGTTCACCGTAAGCGATGATCCGCGCCACAGGCTCGTAATTCCCTCCTTCTTGGCCATTTGCGAAATGGCGTCGACCACGCTCTTGTAATTGCGGCGCTGAGCAAGGGGGAGCCGACCGTCGGCTTGCATACGGACCATGGCGACGTCGGCCGGGTTTCCGACGCCGGCTCCTATCCCGCCGGCGATCAGCCCTGCCGCTATCTTGCGCACGAGGGGCATGTTACCACCATTTGGATCGCTCCATTTTTGCTTCATCATGTCGTAGAGGCCCATCCGGGTGGTGGAGTAGAGGGTCTGGCGGAGGACGGTGGCGGAGACGCCGGAGAAGAGGGCGGCGCCGCCGTCTTGCTGCACGATCCGGAGCCCCACCTTAATAAGGCCCACCCGAGGTACCGGTGGCGGCGGCGTACTAGGGGCATGGATCGTGGTCGGTGGGTGGAAGGCGAGAGCGGGTCGGAGAGATTGCAATGACGGGTTCGGGTTTGGAGCGTGGGTCTCACCCTGTAGTTGCATGCGAACCTTGATTAGGTCAAGCGGGTGAGTTGCACACCCTGCAACGATCGAGGCTATGCCTCCTTCGACAAAACCTTTAACACCCATTTGAGATTTTCTCGGAAAATTTGAGAGTCCCAAGCCAAGGAAATTGAATTGTTTGGTGAAGGAGAAAAGAAAGAGAAATTTTGGAATGTGGTTGAAGGGGAGGGAGGGATTATTTGGGTTTTTTTTTTTGGTTTATGGATGTTTTATATTTGTGGGTGTTTTTAAATTGCGTGTGTAATGAGCAGAGCAGTTGGAATTGGGGTTGATCTCACTAGAGAGCAGGAGATGAGAATAATGGAGGAGGCCAAAGGCAATGGTAGAAAAGTGTGGAACGCAACGCCTCTGAGACATAAATTTGCGACGCACAACGCTATGAAATGACAGAGAGAGAGAGAGAGAGAGAGAGAGAGTGTGAGAGACGAAACGATGTCTGATGGTTTCAAGGAAGAGACAAGGGACAGAGAATTTATAGGGCCACGTGTTTTCACGCAACAATCCATTCCTAATGTAAGAAAATTTTCACTCCTAAGATATGCTTTTTCTGTCAAAGGTTAGGATCGGCTCTAGTCAACTTCGGTGTCTTTTTTTTGGACATACTGGATAAAAGAGATAGTAATTTATCAGATTATTAATTTTAGGATATATTATTTTTTGACTATTTAATTGGATTGAATTTGTATTTCATGTTTGTTTGGTCATGGATTAAATGTCTGATTTGAATTATTTTTAATAAATTTAATGTTTGGTTGATTGGACTGAACAATAATAAATGTTTAAAAGATTATTTTACCTTAGTAATTTATAATTTATATTTAATATATAATTTTAAATTTGTAATCTATAATTTATAATTCAATAATACTAAAAATTTTTAATTTATAAGGCCATAATTTTTAATTTATTATTTTTAATTAAATTAAATTTATAATTTATATTTTTTATTTAATATATAAATTTAAATTAATAACACAAAAAATAATTTATAAATGTTCAAAAAACTATTTTATCCTTTTTCAATTGTTTATTAAGTAATAGCATTAGGGTAAAATGGACATTTCACATATTAATCACATGGGATACTGATTCAATGGAAATAATCACACCTCCCTCCTAAGATACAATAATTCCTCATGTGATGGACTAATAGTCCGAAGGAACTATTAATCCGGAATAAAAAAAATTAAACCAAATAATAGATTATTAGTCCGAATGAATTAATATTCCAATCCCATGGAATAATCCCTCACAACAAACACACTCTTTATGAATTGGATGGATAATATTGTTAAATTTGAGAGGCTCATCAAGGGTCATATTTTAATAATTTAAATTGTTCAATATATAGAGTTCATCGATTAATTTATTTTTGTAAAAAATTATATTAATTGAATATCAATAACTACTTGATCGAATCATATTTTTGTTAATAATTTATTTTAAAAATTATATTTATCGTTGATAGAAATCTGATCTGATCAAATAACTATTAATATCCGATTAATGTAATTTTTTACATATTAACAATTTACATTATTAAAATAAAACTTGTGACGAGTGTTTACGGGTCCAACATCACGCTATAATCCAGTTTAGCCTGGCCTGGATCGTCTCATTGACTTCCACGTGTCCAGAAACTAACAGTAAGCAGATAATTCGGAGGCCGCCGAATCACCGCGTGAAAGTCAGAGGAGCTGTCATCTGGGAGAAGTGTCCGCAGTCCGTGAGTGGACAAATTATTGAGAAAATTACAATTTAGTACAAATCATTATATATATATATATATATTAGCTATGTCTGTACCGTAAATTTAAGATTAAAACACAATTAAATGTAATTTAACTAAACTGTTGGAAAAAAAAAAATTTGAGGTAAAAGACTATTAATAGATGGTCCGTTTTGTTTGAATTTTTATATGAATTTTATAATTATATTTTTGAAAAGAGTATTTTTTAAAAGAGTTTTTCAAATTGGAAATTTTGATTTTGTTTGGAAAGTGAATTGAGTTTTTAGTTATTTTAATTTGAATTAAAAAGTATCGTTTGAGACGAACTTTTTGATTTTTTTTATTTTTTGTGAAAGAAAAATTAAAAATAATTATAATTTGAATGTGATATTTTTCCTTATTAATTTTTAATCTATTTTGTTATTTTGTAATTATTTTAATTGCAACTATGATGTCAAACGAAGTCAATTTGATTATATATTTGGAAAATAATTTTTAAAAATTTAAAATTTAAAACATATTTAGTTTTTAGTGTGTGTCACACCCCGAGTGGTCAGGGGTGAAACCACTTTTGTGTGTGCATGGTAAATAGATATGTGCATTGGTAGATGTATATATATAAAATAAAAGTTGACTTTTTGAATGTAATTTTAAAAAAATATAAAAAATATGAGAGATAATGTGACCCAAAATGAGTTAAAAGTTAAAAAGTAACTTTTAACCCATTTTTCAAAATAGGTCAAAAAATTTGTAAACTAAAAAAAAATTTCCAACCGCCATAATCATGAATATCAAAAAAATTTCACCAACATTCGACACTGATATCAAAAAAATTTTCACAAACATTTTTTAAACCCAATACCAACCAGCACACAAAGGGCTATTTTGAAAAGATGATTAAAAGTCATCTTCCGATTTTTAATTTACTTTAGGTCACATTATCTCTCACATTTTTTTAAAAAAAAAAGACAAAAAAAAAAATCAAAAAATTAGTTTTTAAACAACCCAAAGCAAATGAGGTGTCGTTTGGGAATGGCTCATTTGGGCTCTTTTGGCTTTTTGAGCCATAAAAGACAGAATAGGCTATTTGAGTCACAACAGACAAAACATCAAATCCAACCCATAATCATTATACTATTCTCTCACAAAAAAAGTCAAAAAAGCGAAAAAGCTAAAAAGTCCTTCCCAAACCAAGCTTTTGAATCCAGACTCAAATAGTCAAAAAAGCTAAAAAACCAAAAAGCTAATCCACTTCCCAAACGGAGGCTGAAATGCCCTTTGCCTCCAAAATATATTCTTTGATTTTTGATTTATTTAAGAAATGTGCTAATGTTAAGGCTTTTGACAGATAGCACTGAAATTAAAATTATCGAGTCAGACTTATTAAGATCAAACTCATCACCCACCTCCACCCAAAAAGAGAAGAAGATCAAATTCATAATCATTTTCATTCAAATTAATTATCTTCTCAAATTAATCTATTAAAATAATTAAAAATTAAAATAATTCTGTTTGACTTTATTATTATTTTTTTGAGAGAAAATAATTAGAAAAATGTTTCGGATTACATATGCTCTCAATTATTTAATCTGTCTCATATATCTAGAAGAAGAAAGATAAATGAATCACATATATCAAGAAAAGATATAAATGAATCACAATTCTGTAGGACTCTTTACATCTGCTCACTCATTCTTTCTTTTTGACTCTCTCTATCTATTGTCTCCCACTCTCTCTCCATCTTCCCCACTCATTCTCTATCTCTCTATTATTTCTATCATCTCATCTCTTCCCTCTACCTATTATCTCTCCGTCTAATGTCTCTAACTATTCTCTCTCTCAAAACCCTTTATTTTCTTTGTTCCTTCTTTCATTAAATAGATTTTTTTTTCTTCGCTCTATTTTCTCTCAAATTTTTGATTTGATTTCGTTAAATCATAGGAAATCAATGCTCATTTTAATAGTCAGTACCTATTTCCCATTAAAGAATCAAACTCATTTCATAAATCAAAACCATATTTGAAATCAAATTAAAAACAAAAAATTATTTCTGAAATCAAAATCCATTTAAAAAATAAAACCCATTTTATGAAGATCCAGAAACATATATACTCATATGTTGGATAAAACCCAAAACCCAAAAAATAAAACCCAAAATCTTTTAAAAAATTAAATCCAATTAAGTTTCTTAATGTTAAGATCAAATTAGATAAATTACATTTTAATCCAAAATGATAAGAACATATATATTCATTTAAAAACAGAATGCAGTGTTCTTGTGGCATTTGTAGAGAAGCTTGACTTGCTCTCTAATCACTTCTTCAGCTTGAGGACATGTATATTTGTAGAAGTTCATAACCAGACCAACTTGTTCTTTAGTTTCCTCATTTTCTGCAAAAGCTAGGTTGAGATTGAGAGAATACAACATTGAGAAAGATAAGATTAAAAAGAAAAAGAGAGCTTTGGACCCATTTCTCTATCTCTCAACTCACAAAAGCTCATTGGCCTTGCTTTAAAAAAAAAATCGTAAACTAAAAACAGATTAAACAGCAGTTGATAAAAAAAAATAAAAAATTCAAATAGCTCCAATTATAGCTCATGGGATACCTTCAATAAATAAAATAAATAAATAAATAAATTTGAAGCTATCAGATACAACTATTTATTTCAAATCTATTATTGGGGCCTTTTACCTCATGTATTTCGAATATGTTGAACCTTCTTGAAGAACAGCTTCGGGAAAAGGCGTCGGAGCAACGACCTAGTGGGGGCGGGACAGAGAAACCATCGCCGAGTGGGTTGGGCTCCGATAGAGTGAAAGAGTATAGGACTGAAACAAAAGCATAAAGAGAGAGAGAGAGAGAGAGAGAGGCTGCATTTGTTATAGTCGCGAAGGTGAGCTTCTGTGTTGTGGAGGCAAGTCTTCACCAGAGGGGAGAAGAGGGAGAGATAAAGAGAGTCGCTATACTTTCTAGAGAAGAGAGGGAGAGAGAGAGGGAGAAATGAGAGAGTAGTGGAATGATGAAAGAGGATAGAAGTGGTGAGAGAAGAGAGAGGACATTTGGGTAGGAAATGAATGCATTTCAGCTATTGAATTTTGGATGGAACAATCTAAACCATTAAAACGAAATGTATCTCTTAGATATTTTGATATATTTTCAAAAACCTTTCTGCTTTATTATATATACTTGTCACGACCCAAACTCGCCTCTATGAGTTTAGCATCGTAACTGGCTAATAATCCGCGATTACCAAAGGCTTGCTTAACAATAATAACAGCAATACAATAATAGAGGCCGATGGAAGCCTGTAAATAATAAAATATTTCGTCCAATGAGCTCTGAGGACTTAAATGAACAAACAATCTTTAACATCTACTTAAACACTTAAGTCCATAGTATACTTATACACAAAATAAAAGCAACAGTTAGGGATTTAAATCCCATTACAAAACAGTGGTAACAAAAGTTAGGCAGCATTCACATCATTTTGAGATAATGTCAAAAGGGTGAACTTAGAAACCACCCAAAAGCCCTTAAAACCTGACGGTCTAGAACCTCGCAGTGAGGCACAGTAGTTGGCTTGACAAAACAAAGTTTGGGTTCACGTCGCTAAGCCTGATCCGGTGCTTGATCACCTACATACATATACTAAATAGTGAGCTAAAGCCCAGTGAATAATCTCAATATAAAGAGGT